TCCAAAATCGCGATTCATATTCACGCGATTTTAAAATCCAGTTTTGTGATTCATATTCACGCGATTTTGAAATCCAAAGTCGCGATTCATATTCATGCGATTTTATAATCCAATATCAAGATTCATATTCACACGATTTTAAAACCCAATATCGCGATTCTTGAAAGAAGTAGAAGTAAGCTTTCTCTTGAATTAGTTACTGTAAAGATGTGATATATTTTTCATTAGTAAGTAATTTAATAGTCGCGCCTTCCTATAATTGCTTAATTTTTTTTTAATATATTAGTGGTCAAAATTTTAAAATTATGGTTGACTGGTAATAAATTTAAAATGATAATCAAGCCGCAACAACCAATAATTGATTAATTTAAATAGAAAAGTGGTTGAAATTTCAAAATTATATTTAAGAACAATTTAAATTTCACTGTCTAAATGCTTCTGCCACTTTAAATATTGAATAAAAGTCTCCCGGCAGAGTTGTTTTTAAATATCTAATTGATATCACAGTATTATATCGAACATTCCCCCCTACTCCGTCTTCTGCCCGAATCTTTGCTTAATCAGACTTTGTATACCTAGCTTAAAATAAGCCTCAATGCAAAATTCAAACCTGACGTTTTTATGCGTCATGAATTTTATTCTCGACTTGATGCCAATCACCCTTGTTTTTTTTGTTGTTTTTTTTATATATATACTTAGATCACTTTCCGAAATCAAGAGAGAGCAATGGAAGTCTTATTTTTCAGTACTGCTATTATCGACTAACATTTATCATCAAAACATTTTAGTTTAAAATGTTAAATTTTAATCTATATTTAACTAAAATTTAAGTTCTTGAGAATTTTATAATAAGTCTTAAAAAGTACTTGAATTTTATTTTTATAGTAGAGCATGAACCCTGAGTATATTTTTATTATTATTTATATTATCTCTAAATTAGCTTAATTTCTGTTTGAAAAATTGTTTCAAATTTTGGATTGCTAATTTTTAATAGTGACAGATTAGTTAATGAAAAAAAGCTAAAGCGAAACAGGAAAAAAAAATTCTTAGTTCTGAAATATAATTTTAACGTTGAGAATCAGAGTTTTCTGTGTTATTGGTTACCTGTCTTATTGTACAGGAAAAAAGTGACAACAAAAGAATAAAGTCTATTCAAAACCCTCCATTAAAATGCTGGACTATAGTTAATACAGCAAAACAAACAAAAATGTGTCAAATAAAAATAAAAACAAAGGAAGTTCTCAACTTTTAGAACTTAAAAGTGTTTTAAAAAAGACGAAATTGGTTGAATAAAAATTTTTAAGTCATTAAAAATTTTTAAATTTTGCTTTTCCATTTGTCTTTCAGAGCTTAAATTAACAAGTTTGAAAACTTAAATATATGTAAACAATTTCTAATAATGTATAGTAAAAAATATGATTTAGATTATTCTTTATTAAATATATTCAAATTTCCACCAAAAAAAGCTGTAAACTTTAAGCATCAAAAATATAGTAGAAAAAATTAAAACTTCCAACATATTATTAGCTCTGCTTTTTTTTCTTTGAAATCTTTTAAAACTTAAGATGGAGCATTAAATTTTTTTAGAGAAATTTTACTGTTATAGGAGCTTTAAATGTTTCTTATATTTATAAGTGACTGATTTAAAACTATATTTTTATTCCATAATAGATATTAATTATGATAAAGCTAAAATATATATAATTCTTATTTTTCAGTATGTTAAACCTTAAGCCTGTGATAAGATCCTTGCCATGTTTATTAGCAAAATTTTCTACCCAAGTTGTCTCAAGAAACATTTGATCCTGTCACCAGTTGAAATTTCCTACTATATAAGCTCTTAAATGCCAAGAGTAAATAATCTATCGACTTAAACCTTGTCTTGGCAAGTTTTTATGTGTTAATTTTATTCAAAAATTTAATGAAATGTTTAATCCTGCATATAAATAATTTATTTACTGCTTTTTGAGAAGAAATATGAAACACTTATAGAGAACTGTTTTAAATAAAATCCAAGTATTAATAAAAACTTTTTTTTCTGAGAATTGTGTTTATTCCATTTTTAACACTGTTGTTCTGATATGCAAATGCACAGCTAATATATAATATTTTAGGAGAAGATAACTGGATTTTGAATGTGTTTCTCTTGGTTTAATCAAAAATTCTTCTGTTTTATTTATTTCAGAAAATTTTATAAAATTTCAAAAGCTACTGAAAAAAATTTTGCTATATTGTTTTTTATTCGGTTTATTACTTGCTTGAGGATTAAAATTACTTGATTGAGGCAGAAATTACTATAAGTAAATGCATTAGGCAGCCCAAAATTTTAATTATGGTCTTAGAAAATCCTTGAGAACATATTTTTCAGATCAGGAGACAAAATTTGACATTTTAAATTACTAAAGCATTCTTTAGGATTTTTTTTTTTACGAAATGTTCTACTAGGAAAAATTTTTATGCACAGAAGTAATTTTTCGTTCAATTTAAAGTAATAGAGACAAAAAATGTTATACTTAATTCCATGTCTCTTTCTGGAACTGAAACTTTTAAATGATGCCATAAATAAATAAAACTAATAATAATAGCAAAGAAAAACTTTTTTTTCAATAAAATTTTAATGGTTCATAAAAAATAACAGCTAAAACACTCAATTCAGGAAACTAAAAATATCACAAAATAAGGGAAACTATAAGAACAAAGTGAATTATAAATATACATATAGTTAAATCCCATAATAATGAATGCAAAGGAGCAAGAGTAATTGTTTCTTAATAATAAAAATTCATTATACTGATATTAGACATTTTGAAACTCATCAAAAAATATTTTCCAACCATGGAAATTAGACTTTTAAAGAATAAATATATCAATATATACCTTCAAAGTTAAAAAAATTTAAGAAAATCTTCAAAAAGAACACTAAAAACCATAGTTAAATGAAGAAAAAAAAGATAAACTGAAATACTGAATATAATCTGTTATTTTCTTTTGAATAAAAAGTCTGAAAACTTTTTTATATAAGTGAAAAATTTCTGAATTTCTAAAACAATATCAAAATGTAACTAACTGATAACTCTTAATTCGATACTTTTTCAATTTAATGTTTTCGCAGAAGTTACACACTACTCAAGATTCTTGAAAAATAAATTATATTGTTCCTCTGTTTTAAACATAAGAGTAACTTCATAAAATAATAACATTAATAAAATATTTATTGACAATACAGATTGTCCATAAAAGAATATCCCAGTTTGAATAATATACTATGTCAATTTAATTTAGACTATTTACAACAAATCATACATCAAATTGAAGGTAAATTAACTCATTTTTCTTACAAATGTTCCGAGTGTATATACCATTAGTATGGATGGTTGACTGTGTAAAGCGACGCATAGATGGCGTCAGGAGTTAAAATTTCTGATTGATTTTATGCCTAAGCTTGAAATACTATACCATACAATATTATTATTTTTATAGTGTTTACCATGTAAGACGTTCTTTCAATTTAACTGTCAACGAAACAGATGAACTTGGAAGACTCCTTAATCATGCTATAATATTACCCCAAAAATAACAAAAGCAGATATTTTACACAAATATAGCCAAATAAGAGATAACACGCAAGGGAAAACCTTAAACTTTATGTTGTGATATTAATTTTCTTAAATCTGTTTTGGGCTCACTGCCCGTTAAAATTCATAAATTACAGAAAACTTTTATAAATGACAAAATTTCAAGTAAATTTGAACAAAAATCACAATAATAAAACTTCTAAGAATATTTATCCTGTTCACACATCCCCTATCCCCTTGTAAGCAAAGGGATACACCAGAAATTTTCTAAATTTCTTCCGGTTTTAAGAAGCTTGATACTGTTACCATTTAGTCAACCATCCATATAACACTTGTCCAACTTAAGTCTAATGCTACTCATACTTAGATTAACAAGTCCAGAGTAATGGTTATAATTTCCTCTCCGTTTCTGGCAAATCATTAAGTAGTGGCGGAAAGAATAACAGTCATTGGCTCTGCAAGTGAGAAAACAAAACAGTACTCGCCTGTATGTTTAATTTAAAACTGAGTTAATCTTTAATTGTGACCTGGAAACAACCCTTTTCAACGGTTACAGTTGATACTAATATTAAAATTTATAACTGGGAGATTATCTTATTTACATACTGTATCGATTATTATTAACCTTTAATGGAGAAATCAATCGAGGGTTTCTAATGTAGCAGGATAATAACGTCTGCCATTTTTGACAAATTTTTAAAACTAAAGATTTTGATTTATAGGAGTGAGAATAATTAAATTGGTGAATTCGAAAATTTTGTAATACAAGATTTTTAAATGTATTGCTTTTATGCAAATTAGTTGAGAGTTTTCATTACAACAGGATTTGACTAAATATATGCATATATTCGCATAGTACACTGAATGGCCAACAGTAAATTGTAAAAAATACAATAAATAGAAAAATAAATAGGTTCAATAGTGGTGTAAATAAAACTGCACATAAAAATAAAATTAGGCATGTGTTTAAAACAATATATAATATTTTACAGCGTATTAGCCACAAAGTTAATATTTAAAAAAGGCATAGATCTGTTCCTTTAATCTTAGATCTATTTCCTTTTAAATTTAATATTTATTTCTTTGTATAAAAAGTTTGACTGAAAAATCATAAGTTTACAAATAGTGTAAAAAATAATTTTAAAAGAAAAAGTTTTTATCATTTATATTAATAAAGCAATAACATGTTTTAAAGAACTAATAATAAACATTCTTGTAATCAATAAGTTGTACAAAACAAAGAGTTTAAAAATGAACAACACTTTTGACTTTTCAAAAGTATATATTTTTTTTAATATGTATCTAAGAATGTTTTAATAACTATTTTCTGAAATGAAATTTGTACAAATAAAAAAATCAATCTGTTTTCCATTATCATACAAAGATTAAAATGTATTGTACAAAGACTAAATATATTTTGGCTAATTTAAAATGCAGTTTTCTTGAAATAAAACCTTTAAAAAAGATTATGTAAAATACCTTTTTTTTATCTTATAACTTTTACTGAAATAGAAAGAAGATTTTAAGTATATTACAAAAACATTTTAAATATGTGTTATCACAATAATCAGTGAAAATTACAATATGTTTCTCTCTCTCTCTATGCTTCTTAAATCTTTAGAGTTGACTAAAAACTCTTCAGAGCAGTTTATAACAATAAATTATTTAACATCTAATACTGACATTTTTTCACATTTATAGCTTTTTCAATAAAATACATCAACAAGACTGTAATGTTGTTTCCATAAACGAGGATAAATTTATGCTAACAATAAAAGTCATTATAAATGTAAGGTTTATAAAATGGGAGGTTTTATTAATAACTATGATCATGTTTCATACTGATAAATCTTTTTTATCATGCTTAAATTAAAATAACTTATGCAAATACAAATACTATTAAGCTTTAAAAGGATCGTTTTTCTTTTTAAACAATGTGCACCAAAAAATTTGCTGAGGTATCAAAATTTGTACTGACAAAGAAAACTTTTATGGACAAACATTTATGCACTACAGTACATTTCTATTAACTTGTATGAATGGAACAAGTAAATTTACAATTGTAAACTGACTTTTTGAACACCCTTTAAGTTTAACAGAGCTTGTAGTTTCATTATCAAGTCACTAGAAAAACAATTTCAATGTATTCTTTCATCCTTATCCCTCATTCCAATGCAAATTACTTTGAAAAAGGGATATTGTTGTGACTTAAAAATATTATATTATTTCAATATTCTAGCTTTTTATATTTTACAAAAGCTCAGTTCTAATAATTATTTATAAACTCTATATGAATGACTACAAAATTAAGTGTAGTAATATTTTTCATTCACTGTATTTTTATGTTAGTGTAGACTTGGTGAGAAAGAGCAGAAAATAAATTATAGCTGATGTGTACGCATCCAGATTAGCAGTTGTACATTGAATATATTTTTTCTCACCAAAGCATAACTCAGCTGTTTTGTGTTAAAAGCTCTAAAAAGTTGTATGTGTTAATTTTTTTCATCACAAAACTATAGGAACTAGATATTTATATCGAATTCACAATAAAAACTATTTACAAAATATTAGAATTCATAAAGTTATCAATAATATAGTCCACTAATTTACCAGAAAGAAAACTTAACTAGATTACTTACTAGCTATTAGAAAAGGTGATTATTACCCTAAAATTCATTATGGGATAGTGGTTTGAAGAGCCCCATATTCCAAAAAAAGTAATAAAATTTACAAAATGTGTCTTTAATGCCTTTCCTTTTTTAATTCAACAAAGAGTTTGCATTTCATATGTAACTAGAACGACAAGAAATTTAATAATATTCTATTCATTCATAAACATCAATTCTTATTTATAAATATTAGATCTGCCAGAAAGTTCTGTCCATTCTTGTTAGAATAATTTTTACCAGATATGTGCTATTCATTTGGCTCCCTTTTTTATAACCGAATATACACACTGACCGAGCCTGACCGGAAAACCTGCCATCTAAACCAAACGATCTTGAATAAAAGGATGTTGTGTATATGGTGAGCAATTCAAGGACCAATATATTTTGAGTTGTTCAAACTGAACATTAAGATAAATTCAGAGTTGCACTGTCAGAAATTGACTAACAGCAATAAAAAAAAGTCAGCGTCGTTCAATAAGAAGGAAGACATATTTCTTAATGATAATGCTAGGCATCATGCTTCTTTTGAAACTCGTCAGAAACTGGCATAGCTAGGCTTGGAAATTCTGTCACATCCATCATACTTCTCGGACCAAGCACCCTCTGGTTATTGTTAGTTTTTTTTCCTTGCAAAATTTAGAAAATATTAGACTAGCATTGATTCAATTTTTTGCCTCTAGGGGTAAGGAATTTTGTTAAAAATTAAATATATAAATTGCAATCATGCTTGCAAGAAGTATAAGTATGTTATTCAACAAAAAAAATTATTCAATGCATGAAAAATTTATTATTTTGTTTCATTCTAAAAATGGACAAATCTTTCCAGTAGACCTAATGATAGATACATCACATGTGATAGATTATTAAAGAATAGATTAAAATATAGTTAAAAAGCTTGGAGGAAGATGGTTTTTGGAGACATTTTTCTTAAAAAACTGAGATTCAACTTGTCTTATTTTAAACTTATTCAATTATACAACATAGTTAATTATTCTTAAATTCTGAGATCTTAGTTAATTATCGTTCTAAGCATATCTGGCAACAAGCAGCTGACAAGTAATCTTAAATAACTTGTCTTTTGGCAGGGAAACTAAAACACATTATGAGGTGAGACTAAAACACATTATGAGACACATATGGACATTATGAGAACAGTTAAAATTAGTATTGGAGATTTTTTTTAAACAGATTTTATTAAATGCAAGCTTAGGAACAAAAAATAATGCCTAACATAATGTTTATTTCCTATTGTCAAAGTGCTTAGGTATTATATATTGATTTAATTTTAAAACTAATTTAATCTAGTTCATGAAAATGTTGCTTAGAACTATCAACAATCAACTCATCAATTGCGCAATCAAAAAAAATTACAGTAAAATATTTTTATTATTATGTGATAGACTAGCTTTTTAAATGTCAGATGAATAAAGATGCAAAACAAAAACGGTAAATGAAATATAAAATTCTGGAAATAATTTAAATCAAATTATACTCATAATACTTGATACATTTTACCATGGTGATTTATTTATAAAAATCTTAGAAACTTAAACTTTAACTATTCAATTGCAAAGCAGTTGTCATAATATAATGAATACTTCAAATGTTGGCTATACATAAACCATTTGTACATTAGTATTAATAAAATATTTTAGAAGTAAAAACATATTTTCTAAAATAAATCTTTATCATTGGAATAAAATTTAAAACTCGAATTCAATCATTAATAATTTTATATTTGGAAACTTAGAAAATTGAATAATGAACGATTGGGAAAAGAAAGAAACTATCCATCAACATTTTAAAACACATTTAAAATGTTAAACGACTAAATCAACATTTTAAACCACACTTTAACCTTTAACTGGTCATAACAATTTCTTCAGAATTTATTAACAAGTGCAAAATAATAATACAGTGAAACCGTGCTTAATGGAATCTCCTACAAAACGGATGTATCATGTTACAGATATTTTTTTAATATCCCGTGAATCTGCTAAGAATAAACTGTTATGTGCCTTCTTTGCAAAGAGGACATTTTCGTCAGCAGAGGTGGAGAGTCATTTATGTCCTGAAATATTACCAATCTCTTTAAACTGGACAAAAAAAAATTAAATTTGAAAAAAAAAATACAATTTCAACTTTTAACTTCAAAAACAATATGCATTCCTTCATCCATTTTTTAAAGCATGTAGATTTTTTGCCTTATCCATAGCTACAAATATTGTTAAGCTATTTCACAATTAAGGAATCAATCATTCTCCTGTCCCTTTCCATTAATGTTTCAAAGAAAGAAGAGAAAATTATAGTGTACATGTGAAATATTTCCAACAGCAGCATCTTTTCATTTGGATGACACGGATTATGAGATAGACAACCATCCATCAATTTACTGATGAGACTGATCCATTTTCTTAACACAACTAGGTTAAAAAAAAAAAGGGAGAGAATAGAAATCTAGTCTATAAATTAAACATTTATTCAGGTTCTTCACAAATGATAGTGAAATAGATATTGCCACATTCTTTTTTTTCTATGCATAATGGCAGGTTTAGCTTCAATGAGGTATTGCCTTGTTTACTAGCAAGCTGTATTAACAAATTTAATTTGTTTAATTGAAAGAGTTATAGAGGATGATTTTGTAAACAATGGCAATATTGTGTGTTAAAAGAACGATTCAAATACCGATGAAATTGTTGAGATGGTTGCAAATAATGTGTAGAGTGATAATGAAGAAATAATACTCAAGTGATGCTTTTTGAAAAAGAGTCAAAAGTGGAAACGTTATATGATGTTCAGACTTGTATTGAGGAACTAAAACATTTTCATCAATCCAAAAGTGAAGAAATTGGTGCAAAAATGCTAAATGGTTTAAAAATTTACCATGAAAATATAGTAAGTCGCAGCTGCTTCAAAGCAAGTCTTTCTTTTTAACTAGATAAATATACAATAAAGACATGTTTATACATCATAATTCTACATCTATTAAACATTCTAGATAACCCACTTTTGGTGACCGACTTTCTCCGGGTCATGAATTTCATGGACATTGTTTAGCCCTGCTAATTTTGGGGATAAGGAACAAGAAGAAGACATCTATTATTTTTGTACTATAAATATTATAATTTTGTAAGTTTAAATAAATATTAATGTAAATAATTATTTTATTTTATTATTTTAATATCATTGGACTTATTCTAAAGACCATTTATAATTTTAGTCTTCGTTATTGGTGCACCTTCCCATAAAAAGACCACTCTCATTAACGCCCAATTATTTCGATCCCAAGAATGTCTGCTTAACCAAGGTTTCACTGTATTTACATTCAAGTTAATTTATTGCTAATATTTTAATCTATAATTTACAATTGAATAAATTATTACACAATAAATTTTAAATCGGTAAATGTTTGCACGCATAAGATTTGCATTTAACACAAATTAATTTTGATAATTATAACTTATATAATAAAATTTTAATTAACAAAATATATTATACACAGTATGACCAAAAGTCATATCCACTTTTTTAACTTTTGAATGGCAACAGCTAGTTATAGAAATAATGTCTAAGTATAGTAAAGTGACTATATGCTAGAAAGGGAGACTACTTTCAAGAGCAAGCTGGTGAAAATTGCTGAATTAGCATTTTTGCCTCAAAAATAATACAAGCAAATTACAAAAAATATGAATTACAATGTTGCAGATCATAATCAATTTAGATTGATTCACAGCCTTATGGAAATGTAATGCTAACAAAAGAATACTTATAAGCTTTTTCATACTTTGGTAAAGAATAAAGGATCTTACTGGGGGGGGGGGGAGAATACGAACTATTTATCATAAAATATTTTTTTCCAATGTTCAAACTTTTTTAAAGTTAGCACATTAAAAATAAAGGCATATTGTGGTAACTTTTTTCCAGATCATTTTGTCATTGCATAAAGAATAAAATCATGACCAAATAATTTCTTTTTTAGCATCAGTCTCTACAAAGATGTCGATTTGCACTAAATTCATGAAAATCTAAATCTAAGTAATTAACTTTGTTTAACATTTAGTACAGCTTTCAAAAGAAACACTAACTGTGCAGCAGTTTTTAATTAGGTAGTTCTATAATCAGTCTTATCTTATAATGCATAGCCAAGTTACTATACATAGGAACTACGTTTATATAGGGTTACAGTCATTTGAAAGTTAAGAGAATGGATAAAAACTTTAGTGGAACAAGAGCGAAATGAGGAAGCAGTTCTCTAAATTATAGTATATAAGTCTACATTGTAGTACATTGCATGTGTTAAAATAGTTTACATACCAGTTAAGGTATAGTTAAAATCAATAAAAATCTCAGCTATTATTATTATAAAACTTCCCATGACATCACATTACACTGAATTATGAAATGTTGGGATATAGTAAAATTTTTGTACTTGTAATTACGTTCATAGCACGAAAATTATGATTTCGGTAAAAAAATACAATTATTTTCTTTAAGGCATCTGCAAACATCAGTATATTGCTAAACATACTTAAATATAAGATACATGCATTTGACAATTGAAAGCAAATGGTAATACACACTATAAACTACATGTTTTTATTTCTTCTCCAAACCTTTAGCTTCGAGTTGCAATAGCTGAACTAAAAATCCATCATTTGGCCTCACTTCTCTTCGCTTACGAATAGTTGTCAAAGCCTCTTTTGCGGTCATATTTTTCTTAAGAATAAGATAAGCAGCTACAAATGATACAGACCTTGACATTCCCATTAAACAATGAACAAGAACTTTCCCTGAAATATAAATTTTTAAAAAAAAATAATATAAAAAATAATATACGAAAAATTTTGGATAAAATATTTCAGTGATTAATTACATAATGTGCACAAATCATCATCACTTATAAAAATATAAATTAAAAAATATTACTGTAATACTGTAGGTAAAATGAAGAGCTATTCTAGAAGAATTCTGTTTTATTTTTTATGCATTCAAAGTTTATCTGTTGATTTAAAACTATGCTTAAATCCACATTCCGTGGCCATTTTATTGTAATCAACTACGTTCCTTTTTTCTTTAACTTTTTGCCCGTGGCTGGTACAACAACTGGACCATAATACAAAGATGTAATTGAAAAAGACAACATGACTGCTTCACAATAGATGTCAAGATAAAAATCTAGACAACTATTTTCATTCCATAGCTCATACAATGAACGCTAATATAAATTTTCTAAAAACTGATGGAAAAAAATTTTGTAAAAAAATATATTATTCAATATGCAGCTTATCATAAAAAATTACCAAGCATATAAAAATTTCAACTTTGAAATTTTTGTTGCCTATGTCAATTTTTCTATTGCGTAACAGAATAATAAGCTTTGGCTTCAAAAGCACAATATGCAAAAAGGTAATAGAGCCTTGATTCATTTAGGCATGGATTTTATAAGATTATTATAGGAAGTATATGGCATGTTCATTACATTTTCCAATAGTGAGACTGATAAAATATAGAATATGATAAAATATAGCTTTTCTAACTTATTACTCAAGTGTTCACAAGGATTGAGGTCTGAGCATTGTGAGGGTCAATGCAATAAAGAGACAAACGCAACATCCAATTCTTTACAATAGCAGCAGCATAACAAGACAAATTATCCTCTTGAAGGTAACTTTTGCAATTGAGATCATCAGAATTCTTGGTCAACAATGTTTAGGTATGCCTTATTTAAACTAACATGGATCAAAAATTTAAAGTTCAGCTTAACTAGCCCTCTAGCTGCAGCACTGGGTTCTAATAGTTTATTTGTAATTCTATTATTTCTATTATTGTAATTTATTTCTAATAGTTTATTTGTTGAAAACTTTCAGATGGTCATGATCAAGCGTATAAAATCTATTATCCATCATATAGAATAAAAGCTATTAAATAAACAAAACAAAAATAGCTACACTGCATGTAAAATCTATTCGAGAAAAATTTATTTTACCTTAGCTCCAATGTTAATGAAAAAATTAAAAATTCAAGGCAGAAGACTATGTTTATACTATTTTAGAACTTGCAGCTCTAAATCCATTAGGACACACCATTACTAGAAACTCGTATTATAATACAAATCTATTTTCCATCACACGAAAGGATAAAAAAATCTAAAAAAATAGCTAACTTTAAGAGAAACTATCCTAGAAAAATTAGTTTTTATAAACTCTTACGTGAATAAAAAAATGTAAAATTAAAATAGACAAATTAATATAAGCCTATCTTTCTTCTTGAGTTAGAATGAATCTGAGGTAAATTGAAACTATTTTTTAAAAAAGAAAAGAAAAGGCCTATTTTAAAACAGTAATCTTAACTCTGAAGACCAGTGTTATTAAACAAATTTCATTTGGTAGACTAATTTCATTCCTCCATAAAATTTTGAGGAGTGAAATTTAAAATATTTCAGGCAGTTGAATAAGATTTTGAAATAATAATGGAGGACCATTGTTGCCCAGAAGAGGGCATGCAACTCTCTTCCAAAGAAAGACTTGGTGTAGCCTGGGCTGTTGTTCTACTGATGCTGAAAGCCAAGTTAATGGATATTTTAAGTATTACAAATTATAGTTGTATAAATTACATCATAAATTAGGATATATGATGAATTTTTAAAATAGTTTTCAAATGGTTAATTATCTATTTCTAAAAGAGATATGCAAGAATTTAGATTTTATGTAAAACACAGTTAAACTTTTGTAAATATATTGATAATCTAAGAAAAGGCAGACTTTACATGAGATGGATTGACACGCTAGAAAAAGATTTTAAAATAATAGGCATAAATAGATTAAGAAACCTAGAGTCCGAAAGAACCAACTGAGATGATCTGATGACAGTACAAAACTGTAATGTTGGGAAATAAGACGACTTCGACTCATTTACAGATAAAAGTTTTTAGACTCAGACTCATAATAAAATTTTCAAAATTTTTTCATTACTTTTGAACAAACGTTTAGCACAATCATTTAGCATAAAAAATGCAAAATTTAATTATTAATTGTGATAAAAAGGCTTTACTAACTAATTTCCTTGCTTAAGCATCAAAGACCTAATAGCGAGATTGCAAATTTTGGCTTTAAGTAATTCTATGGATCTCAACCTCACATAAACTCGAAATAAAATACTTGGCGCTCAGGTGGGCTCAGACCTCCAAAAGTGAGCTCGAACTTATCTCTACTGGGGAAAAAGAATAGCAGAATTAATGCTTAAACATTTTAATCTTTTACAAAAAAGATAGAATTTTATAGACTATCACAGCATATGCACTACAATTGCTTTATTTAGACAAAAAAATTAGTTACATTTATCATAGTCATTTGTTGCATTTTTTACACCAAATCAATACAGCAAACTAAATTTAAGATTAACAAACACAAGCAGTTCACATTTTTTTTCGAAATTCTTTCTCTCTTTTTGGGTGATATCTTTGAAATCAGATTAGCTAAATCTATTTAATCCACTTATATGTAAGTGAATACACTCTCAAATAAGCATACTATATATAAAAAAAAACAAGAAAAGTTCTTTTAAACAAACCAGAAAGTTGCAAAAAATTTTTAACTATACATTCAGAACAGCAAGTAATTTGCTAAGGTCCTTTATTAAAACATTAAAAAGCATAATCAACTCAAATGCAGGGTAATAAAAAATATAATAACATGATCTAGAGCGTAAACATTTATTTTAATAAAACTACATAATAACACAGTTAAATAATAACTAGAGTAATTCAGAAAAAACCTTACCATTTTTCACACCATCTTCGATGAAGTTGACACCCTCTTCAAAGTGATCGATAATTCTTGTTCTAGTAGCATCAATTAAATTATAACCCAAATATTTGATTTTACAATCAGCATAAAAATCAGCACCCGTAAGCACTTGTCCAAAACCATTGCCTTCAGCAGTATTTAAAACATGAGTGATGCCAACTGCAGCTAAAAAATCCTTTTTTCTCGCTGTCCCCCTAAAATAATTTAATAGGAACATCAGACATCAATAAAAAATTATTTGACTCTTATTATTTTTAAGGATATTTCCATATCGGTTCCTGCTCATGCCAACTGCAATTGTGAAATTTCCATTGCCCAATTACAGCACTTACGTACAATGTATTTTTTTAAAAACAAAAAACACTAAAGTGACTTTTCTCAAAGTGGTTACCTTTTAATTCATTTTGTTCCTTTTTTCTTTTTTAATTTTTTAAGTTTCTTGCAAGTCACTGCAGATTAGTCTCCAAAACTTTGCAAATATTTTGGTGCAGGTATCAATATGGAAATCTTCTCTTTTTTTTTTTTTTCAATACAATTTTTACACATACAATCAAGTATGGTTATTTAAGCAAATTCAATTAAAAATTTAAATAAAAAGTACCAATATAAATAATAATTTTGTTTAAAAAGTGAAAATTATTAATAATAATTTTACTTAGAATTATTTTCTTATTTACTGAAAATTAAGGTGCACTTAATGATACCTATAATAGACTCAAATTTAAATAATAATATTAATTAAAACTATACTAACTCATCACCAACAAAAATACCAGGATAAACTTCATCACAATCAACACCACATAATAGTGCTTTTGTAAGCTCAACATGAGGAGTTTCAATAAAACGAGGTATCCAAGTATGACCAATCAGGCTTCTCGTTGGAGGATGTACATCATGAAACACTTGCATTACATCCTTTAAAGGTTGAAGAGGTGATGGTGCAGCCATTTTAATAAGTCGATGATAAACCTACGTAAAAAAAATTTTTTTATTATTAATAAAATTGTAGGAAAATTATGATTAAATTATTCATATAAAAAATTATGCAAGTCTTTAGAAAAACTTTTCTTAAACTAACAAAATGTAATCCATGCTACCAAATTAAACTATACTTTCATGATACCATTTCATTATTCGAAAATTGAGAAGGCATTTATTACAAATTTTTTTCCCACATCACACCAACCTGTTATGAGCCAATGAAAAATTTCCTTCCACGAGTCTTCCTCCCACCCTATAAATCAGGCTACCTGAAATTATAATAATAATTCAATAAACCTGAAATTATAAGAATAAATCATTTTTCTCTCATTTTATAATAATGAAGGGAAAATGATTTACAGCCCCTACAAAAGTATGTAATGCTGAATTAGAGAATTTCTGACAACCAATTAATGTATACAACAAAATATTAAAAAAAAGAGCTCAGTTCATTGCTAAAAATCAAAACAACAAAATAGATTTCAAAACAATAAAAAATAAAACTTTTAATTACACATTGATGGAAAAACAACTTTATAAAACAGACTAGGAGATTAAAAAAAAAAAATCTTACGAAAACATGAAACAGTTTTCATAAGCAAGTACAGTAGAGCGCCGATTATACAAACTGCTCGGGACCGAACGTGGTTCGGATAATTGGAAAGTTGTTTAAAATCTAAATGATTATTATTTATGCTCTAACTTCCCTTCGCACTTTTTCCAGGCTTAGTACTATCTAAAATAACTCTGGCGTGTTTAAAAGTTGTTGTTTTTTTTTTTTCATTTTCAAATATTTTTAGTTTATTTTTTTTAACTCTTTTTTCTGAATTTTTTTAAATCATATTTCAGCTTTTTATAATTTTTTTGTGAATTACTGATTTTACCACATTTTTCTTCATTTTCCATTTCAAAAGAAATCCAGCAAAGACTATTGTTTCAAAGAAGATGCTCTTTTTTGAGCAGCCATATTCCTTATTCTTTTTAAATAAATCAACTGAACTTGATCAACATCATTTTAATTGTCTAGCCAATTCATTGCAGTATCTAATGAATTGCATGCTTCTATATGAGAAGGTCCACTTGAACTTGAACACCTACTTCTTCCTCTTCGTCTGTGGAGTTCCGATTGGAAGATAATTTTCCGTTGAAGAGGGCTAAAGGGGTATGTAGGTTTAACTGTATAACAATACATGTATGTATAGCTATAGTAAGAAAACTGGTAAAAAAGGTTGTAAATTAAATATGGTCTTCAGGTGTAGTGGATATTACTTATTCCTCTAAATCTAGAAAAATTGTCAATAAGTTAAGCATTCTAAACTTTAAAAAAAAAAAAAAAACGAATTCGGACATAGTTCGGATAATTGGACGTTCCGATAATAAGGGTTCGGATAATTGGCGCTCTACTGTAGTAAGTATTTAAAATTTATTTGCCAATCAGTTTTTAAATTTGGAAAAATGTTTTACAAAAATATGCTGTTTGTTTAGCAGTGAATCTGAGTTATACGCTTCAAGTTAGTCTCCTTTAGAGAATTTTTTCTTTTTTTTTTAAGTTTCTCATGGACAGCAGATATTATTTTGGGGGGAGATTTTCGTTTCGTGATTCACGGCAGAATTATCTCTTAGTCTTGGAAACTTCTGTGCAGTGGCCTGCGAGAAACTAAAAAAAACATTACAGAAAGGGACGAACTCAAAAGGTATAACTCGTAGTCATCCCCGGGCAAACATCTATATATTTTTTATTTTAAAATTCGCAAGTTTAAAATCTATTTGGCACCTTGTTGACTGTAGTTGGCACGACAGATCACAATACAGAAATATCTCCTATTTTGGAGTAGGTACCCATAGTGTTATCTGCCCAGTATGTACAAACCCCAGGCAAGAAATAAAACAGAGAAAATGTTAGCACTAAAAAGTTTTAATCCCAGTTTTTAGCGATGTTTTAAATTATTACAAAACTCATTTTCCAATGTTACTTAATTAGAAAATAGTGTGTTACAGAAAAACATACATAAAATTTATCCTAGAGTCATAACACGTAAAGAAGAAATTAGAAACATTCCGTGTTGCGCAACTAAAATAGAAAAATAACAAGACAACAAATTGAAAATTTAAGATATTGTGTCTTAAAAACATTACATGATTATAACATAAAATATTTCATTTATCTAAAAAATAACAATTCTAGGTGTGAAGATAAAGGAGATGTGTCCATTTTGGCATTTAATCACACCAAATGAAGTTGATGGGTTACTTAACATCAAATAAATTAAATTTAAAAAAAATAAAAAAGAGTTTTACCTTTTAAACTTTTTAGGTTCAGTGATAGCATTCTATTTTTTTAGTTTCTCATTATAATCACATGGAAATTGCCAAAACTCACCGATTACTTAGGGGCAGACACCGAAGTTATTTAAGGTATTCCTAAGTTTGCTCGATTCATTTTCTTGCACGTCACTGTCCGATGTATTACCTAAACTAGGAGACCATTTGGCACAGGTATTGCAATGGAAATGAGATGTTATGCAAGCCTCTTGCATTCTCAATGTCTTTAAATAAAAGTGTTAATAGCAAAATTATTACGGAAACAATATGGAGCATTCGATATTCTAGGATAACATACAGTTAAACCATAACAACATCGAAAATAGCGACATATAAATTAATTTACATTTTATTTAGTATCTTGAGTATTTGTATTAATGACATAAGCGAATTTCAGGAAAAAAAATCTTAATTTCTTTAGATTAATCCTCCATCCTGAATATAAACCTTATTTTTTGAAACAAACAAACCATAATAAACGTAACCTTTTTCATTTGATTCCTTTTCTTCAAAGAGATTTCTTTCTGAAGTAAATGCGAAGTTTCGTTCTCTAATGTTTTGTTTTGCAGGATTCTCTTTCGTGAAATTAAATTGATAGATTGATGATAAATTAAATACGGTTACAACCAAGGGCTTACTGAATTTGCATCAAAAGCAAATTTAAATGATTTATCAGTTTTTCTATAACTGTAACTGTACTACTGCGAGTACTGTTTTTGTTTACATTTTTCTAGCAGTAAACTTCTGTAGTTGTATTAAATCTCTCAATTTTTGGAGTTTTATCATATCTTTTTTTCAATGAAAGTCTTCTTACCTTTTATTAAAAGTAAGGTTTTAATGTTTGGAAAGTAAGAAGGAAATATTTAATGGTTTAAAAGCAATCTCATCGCTTAAACTTTACAGAAGTAGTTGAAAATGAATCTAGGTAATGCTAGTATTTTAAATACTCTTCACATAACATAAGGTTAAAAAATAAATTGAAAGGCTGTTAATTGCATAGAATATACAAAGACAAAAAAAATTAAACAAGATTTGAATATCGTCACTTTTGCGATACCTGAAGTTATGTTAATAAATCTAATATAAAAACATTTCATTTAATTTCCCTATTTATGTAAATATATTGTTTTGAATCAGTCTTAAAGTTTTAGAATAAAAAGCAATTTATATGTTCATTTTTTCAATATTTTTTTCTGATAAACATTTGTAATATGTGCAAAAAGTAATTACCTCAAACATTAATTGGAAGCATCATGTTTCGGTACTCCTGGTTAAACAAACATTCTGATAGAATTTGTGTAACATAACATTTTCTTGCTGATTTTGTTTACAAAAAAATAAGTTGGCACATTTCCAAAGAATAGCAAACGTGATGCAATCAATTGTAGATGCTATTGAACCAAAACTTGTTGAAAACAATCTTGAATCTTCTCTCAAAGTTCATAATTCTGACTCGTTCTCAACTGGGACAATGGATATTGAGTTTGTTATTGAAAGTAGTTTGCCTAGCATTCATGAATTAGCACAACATAGTGATCTGTACCAAGAACAAATAATTACTCCAAATCTATTTGGCCCTAATAATGACAAGGATTTGTTACAAAATAGTTTTTATGACAAAGAGGTCTATAAGGATCTCCCTCAAATTAAAAGTCTGATGGATGAATACTCTATGGAATATGTTTCTTATATTAATAACAGTGATATGATTGATTATCTTCCTACAGATGTAATTGATTATCAGCCTACTGACATCCTGAACATGAATAAAGTTAATGAATGTGACTTAAATACTTGCCTTGAAATTATCCTTGATAAAGCTGAAAAATCTAGTGTCAATAGCATTGAAATTGCACCAGAGTGTGACATCTCCCCACCTACTAATAAAGAGAAATCTGTTAATGTTAAGAATGATTTAATTTGTATGAATAAGAATTTTGCTCAAAAATTAGAGGACAATATCTTCAGTAAAAGTCAATCCAACAATGGGGTAAATAAAAGTATTATTAAAGTTAGCTCACATTCTTGTAATTCAATATCAAACGAAACAAATTTAGTAAATTTGAAAAAAAGTAAATTTGATCAGGATATAACCATTAATCAGAAGTGTGATAACAATTTAACTGAAGGAACTGGGGAGTTAATTAACTGTGATATTAATAATGTTAATGAAATAGATTTTAAGATTAACCTGGCATCAAAGGAGACAAATTCACTGCATTTTATCACAAATATAAATACAAATAATTCACCTGAAGGAACTAATGACATGCAAGCAAATAAAAATATTGCTTACGAAATTATCTCCCAAATTAATAATCCATCCCTAAAAGATATCGACTCTTTAAATGTTGAAAGTAATGTAAAAAATGAAAATGTGAGGATACCAATGATCATATTAAACGATAAATCTTTTGCAATTACTATTAAACAATTTCCAAGTTTAGTTCTTATGGGTAATAATGTTTCTAACCTTAAAGTTCCAAGCAATCATATTAAAAAGAGAAAAAGCAAATATTTAAAAAAAGACTTGATAATTGCAAATAAAAAAATTCATTCTTGTCCTGTTTGTAATTCAATATTTTCCAGAAGATCAGCTTTAAAAAATCACTTACTGCTTCATGAAAGCGTTAAATCGTTTTCTTGTAATGTGTGCCTCAAATCTTTTGCTAAAAAATCTACACTTTCTGAGCATTGTATTATCCATGAACCAAAACGTCATTTTATTTGTGATGTGTGTCACAAAACATTTGTTAGAAAGAATGATCTTGATAAGCATGCTTATATTCACTCAAAAATAAAACCATTTATTTGTCAATTTTGCAACAAAGGGTTCACTCGCCAAATTCAACTTCAGAAGCATCACCGTTTTCATCATCCTGGAAAACGATTACCCATACTCACTGGTGGTAAGCCGATATTAAAAGATGTTGCAATAAAATCTAATAAAACAGTTGATGGTTTGCAAGTGCTTGCTTCTGAATTGCAAACACAAACCAGTTTATCATCCAAAAGTTTGTATGAACTTGGTGATGCGGTTGAAGCCAATAGTGGGGATAAATGTCTAGCTTTAAATGATCATCTTATAAATGCACCAGCAACAGTTGCTGTCCGTGCCATTTCTCAGACATCAGTGTTTCCTGCTAACGAGGAATTAGAATTTGTACCAGAAAATCATATTGAAAAAGGTGAAGGGGCCAATGATCTTTTTACTACCAAAAATACCAATTTTTCTAAAATTCCTAGTCACTCTGACATTCTGGTACTTGAATGTATAAAATCCAACGGCCCTATATTAGAAAATGCAGAAGATTTTGTTTGTAGCTCTGACAAAGTCATAGAATCTGGGATTTGTGAATCAAATAAGTTTGTTGATCCATCTTCTCGTGTTTCAGCTTCTTTAGAAATGAATCAAGACAAACTTACCAAAAGTATTGCTGATTACATTTGTAATATTTGCCATAAAACATATGCTTCAAAATCTAGTCTTAATGCTCACATTTCTTTACATGCTAATATGAAACCTTATATATGTGAAATATGCTATGCAACTTTTGCAAAAAAATGTACTTTAGTGTTACATTCTTTAATACATAGTGGAGAACATCCTCATTTATGCAGCATATGTGAAAAAAAATTTAAGCGGAAACATGATCTTAAAAAACATATCTTGATACACACTGGGGAAAGACCTTATGTGTGTGACTTCTGTAATGCTAGGTTCAACCATCAAAATAATTTGAAAAGACATAAAAGGATACACACAGGGGAAAAACTGTATGTGTGTAACATCTGTCGAAAATCATTTGCAGATGCTAGCACACTTTCAACACATACTAGGCAACATGTTAAAGATGCCGAATTAACCAATAATGTGAATAAACAACTGAAGTTGATAAAGGAAAAGCTTCACACGTGTGATGTGTGTAATACTGGCTTTTCTCGGAAAGATAGATTACTTCGACATAAAAAAACTCATGATGCAAAAGAGGTACATAACTGCTCTGTATGCAATTATACTTTTAAGAGTAAGGAACAACTACATTCACATTTGTTGATTCATGTTGATGTATCGCTAGATGACATAGCTGACAGTGATAATATATGTGATGATTTGGATCTAACCAAATTAGAACCAACTGTTCAAAATATCAACAAAACTTTTTCATGTGATTTATGTGTAAAAATGTTCTCTTCTAAAAAGGCATTAAGAGTTCATCGCATGATACATACTGGTGAGCGACCATATGCCTGCCAAATATGTCAGAAACGTTTTACACAAAGTATTACATTAAAACGCCATAAGGTGGTTCACACAGGAGAAAGACCATACACATGTAATATGTGTAATAAGAGCTTTACTAGAAAAACTTCGCTTCGTAAACATATCATCATTCATTCACAGAAAAACCTGTGTTAAACATTTAAAAGTCCTCTTGTAGGAAATGAAATATTATAGAATTTAAAATAATTCAAACATAATTTTTTTTAATTCATCGTTTAAATGCCGAATTAAGAATCCAAATAACCTGAAATGTGATAACTTCACTACCAAAGATAAAGATATCTAAAGATAATAAAATTTTTAAAAAATGTGTGAAGAAAATTTTAAGTGTGCTTTTCAACATTCCTTTTTGGAACATTTGCCTTTGGTGGAAGTTTTCTTTGCGGATGGTGGTTACAATTGCTTTAACTGTGCTTCACTATGTATTTTTTGCCAGAATAAAATGGTATCCACTTAGAAGCACAAAAGATTGTGAAATATCAATTTCAAAAATGTATTAATTGTTTACACTTTTAGTTAAGCTTAAAATGATTATTTAACATTGAGATATTCTTCATTGAGTAGTTTTTAATATATATCAATAGGAGCACAATTTATGAGTTTAGTACATTTTTACAAAATTGTGTCAAGCTTTTCCGATTCTTTTAGCTCATCAAATTTCACTTTCTCGCTTGACTTTAGGGCAAGCCTTTTGTTTTTGTTTTTTTATTTGCACTTGTTCCTGGAATTTAATTTTTCACTTCTAATATTGCTTATAAAAACGATAACCATAATTTCATTGACATAGATTGGAATAATAGGCTCTAAAATATTTTAATCTATTTTTCCTTATTAATTTGTTTCTTATCAATCTTTTAGTTTCTCAAGCTCTGATTGAAAAATCTCTAAATCTTTTAATTTTGAACCAGAAAGCATTTCTAGAAGGACTTCTTATATTGTTATGTATGTCCCAGACATAGTACTAAAAGCAAACAAAATTTGTTTTTGCTATTATTTAACTCATTCAATAACAACAAATGCAATCTTTGAAATAATATAAATTGCAAGAATTAGGAAGGAAAAACTATCAATAGCAAGAATCTATTAGGCACATATTGAAAAAAAAAACCTTTGATGTTAAATTTCAACTCTATTATTGTGAAATAACACT